TGGTGCTGTGTAGCTGCTCCCCCGCGGATCAGTGAGTAGAGAGAGGCAGGGAGGGATATGCTGTAACTTCCTATCCCTGCCTCTCTCCACACACAGTGACCCCTACTGGCTAGTGCTGGTATTGCAGTGTAATCTCCGTTTATACTGAGAAAAATATCTGCATTTGTATTGCCGGTATAACTGCAATACCGGCACTGGCCAGGCAGCCTCAAATACTGGCTGTGCTTGTAAAATACCAGTCAGGTGGCATGTATGTACGTAGCGGGAAATGTGGTGCGACTAAGAGTAAAAAGACTACCCCACTTATCCCCCCAATAACTACAGACAACGAATATTGGATGAAACAGGCCACAGCATTTATTAAACTTACAACTATAGAACTCATCCGAACTTTATTATTATTCCTTTAATTCAAATATAAACAAACACATAAGTATATATATATATATATATATATACCATAATTGACATATAAATTAACACTTATTGCCCTACAGCCTCCAACTTAAATAACCGTCCTTGCCAACGAACTTAGGCAGGTGCTATGCACCAAAAACTTTATCCACTGGTGTCTCGCCGACCCCTTGTCCAAACCAAAATTTCCATCATCTTAAATGCTCTACCACCAGCCGGCTTTTAGCTCGGTGGGCACGTCCAATTCAGTAACTTAAAAGTTTACCTTACAGAGCAGGGGAGGTTGAGACCCACCTTGTCCATCTGCTCCCCAACCCTGTTGGCAAGGACACGCTCCCCGCTAGCTGTGACAGAACAAAACATAAAATTAGGGTGGGAGGGAAGTTGTTTGCTGGCCAGAATTCCAAAAGGCACTGAGGTAAGATGATCCCTGCTCCCCTACAAACACATAACCACTCCCCTAAACACATACAGCCCATCACTAGCACCATCCCCACACTCATACATATGCCCTTGTCCGTTTAGCTGTGCTGACTCCCCAGGGCCAAACCTAAGAGTAGTGTGTAGTTTTTTCAAATGGGCCTATTCCATGGGCCTGGGCTTGGAGCTGCAGCTCCATCAGCCCCTATGTTAATTCGGCCCTGAGTGTGTGTATATAATGAATGCAGAGTGTGAGTGTTTGTGTAGTGTGAGTATATAATGAATGCAGAGTGTGAGTATTTGTGTAGTGTGTGTACATAATGAATGCAGAGTGTGTTTTTGTGTAGTGTGTATATATAATAAATGCAGAGTGTGAGTTTGTGCAGTGTGTGTATAATGAATGCAGTTTGTGTGTACATAGTGAATGCAGAGTGTGTGTGTTTGTGTAGTGTGTGTTTGTGCCATGAGTGTTTGTGTAGTGTGGGTATATAATGAATGCAGTGTGTTTGTGTAGTGTGTGTATATAACGGATGTGTAGTGTGTGTATATAATGAATGCAGAGTGTGAGTTTTTGTGTAGTGTGAGTATATAATGAATGCAGAGTGTATTTATGTAGTGTGTGTATATAATGAATGCAGAGTGTGTGTGTGTTTGTGTAGTATGTGTGTTTGTGCAGTGAGTGTTTGAGTAGGTATGTTAAGCGTGCAAAATGGGGGGGTCAAATTTTTGAAAATTAGGAACTAAATTAGGTTTTAGTTCCTCCTCCCTGCATCTTACCTGACCAGGGAGAGGGGATATGACATTCCCTGGTGGTCCGGTGGCATGGACTGTGTAGAGAGGGCCCAGCACACTATTCCTTACTGTGAAGAAATTACAGTGTTATTTCAGTTATTTGACTTTTTTGCATTGGGTAGCTGTAACTACCGGACACCAACCACACCCCTGGCCATGGGCGTAGGAACCCCAAAAAATCTGGGGGGGATAGCATTTTTACTCGCCGGGTATATTCTTATTCCGTAAACTATGAGTTGTTTATCCCATTGCATAGCGCTACGGAATTTGCAGTTGCTATATAAATGATTAAATAATAACTTTAAAGGGTCACCAGGGAAGGGATTTTACTTACCTGGATACAGCGCCGGGATCCTCCTGATGCTGCGCCCCCTATTTCGTCAAAATAACGAAATAGGAGGGTGCGAGCAGGGAGCAATAAAACGCTTCTATTCAGAAGCGTCATTGCTCTCTGGTGCGCATGCGCAGCTTTGCCACACATGCGCAGATACTTCATAGGGCGGCATTCATGTCTCAACTAGGAAGCACCTCTAGTGGCCATCTGAGTGTCCACTGGAGGTATTCCTCATCAGTAATGTAAATACTGCCTTTTTACGAAATGGCTGTGCTTACATTAAAAAGCGTGCAAAGACATGCTATAGACACCAGATCTACTACGTTTAGCTGTTGTGGTTCTGGTGACTATAGTGTCCCTTGAATATAGAGAGGAAAAAAGAATCATCACAAATGTAAGAAATAAAATGTCTGTATCATTATTCTAAAAATTATTTAAAAAAATAAAAAAATATGCACATTCCTAGCTTAATTTTTAGCACGACATATGACACAAACATTTTGTACTTTGCAGATTACTTTTTATATTTTTTTATACATATACAGATTGTGTAATACTGCCCCTGACTTAGGGTGACCACATTTCCTAACTGCCATTCAGTGACACTTTCAGAAATGCATTCCATACATTTTACTACCCGTCTCTACCCCTTCCATTTATATTAGAACCCCTTTCCATGTAAATTAGAGATTAGTGCCAAGAATAATATGCTAGATTGCCTACTTACAAGCAGATGAGGATGATGATGGGCTCTAGCTGCAGTCTGGCTCCACTGGTCTGGTGAAGAACAGGCTCTCTGGAGACTGTTTGTAACTGTGGTCACAAAAATCAATGTTCTGGGAGAACGGGAAGCAGCTCAATTTTTTGGGGGCCCTTTACACAGCTCAAGGTCTGGGTCCCAGGCTCCACCTTCATGTTCCACCAATGAGTTTGTTCACAGGGGGTGGAGTGTGTAGGGGATGTCCTGATATGTGTGTAAGGAATGCATTGTGTGAATCTGTGTTTGTATGTGTAAGGGCTGCAAGGTGTGTTTCTGTGTATGTACGGGATGCAGTGTGTGCGTCTGTAAGGGGTGCATTGAGTGTGTGTAAGGAATGCATTGTCACTCTCTTTCTCCCCCTCCCTTGTCACTCTTCCCTCCCTTGTCACTCTTTCTCTCCCTCCCTCGTCACTCTCTTTCTCCCCCTCCCTTGTCACTCTTTCTCCCCCTCCCTCCCTCCCTCCCTCGTCACTCTCTTTCTCCCCCTCCCTCCCTCCCTCGTCACTCTCTTTCTCCCCCTCTCTCTCTCCCTTGTCACTCTCTTTCTCCCCCTCCCTCCCTAGTCACTCTTTCTCCCCTCCCTCCCTTGTCACTTTCTCCCC